CACAATCCTCACCTGTTTCGGATCGAAGTAGAACCGCATGCACTGCAACCAGCCAAAATCGGTCTGGCTCTTCACTTCATCGGCCGCGAGTCTTCTGCAGGTATCCCTTTTGTGTACAAATTCCGTAATCTGAAATAATCACATAATTTCATAAAAAAATAGCCTGTGACATCCAGCTCCGCCTACTAACTTACCAATGCCTCAATCTTCTTTCTTCTAATTGGTGGCTGATCTTTCAGCACCTGAATCCGCAAGCAGCGACAGTGTTGCTGACACCGCCTGTTCAACCGATTCCACTCCCTTTGCTGTCAGATAGTACAATCTCCATTTGATTGCTCCACCAGATCTCAGCTGTCAGTCCAATTACTTGGGCCTGAAAAAAGTCCAACTGATCGAAAAATCCAGAAAAAACCACCGGTGCCTTCTTGAGCTAGAGGCACATAAATCCGTGAAAACTTAGGGGCAGAGCCAGGGCACTACCTGCGAAGAGGAAATTTTTTGCGTAATGCGACCCCCCCCCATTCTCATTCTCTAGTACGATCATTCCTTCCCCATCCTACACATCATCTTACTGCCTTTCCTAACTTCCTACCAATTTTCCGAAGTTTTGCCAGAATATCCTCCACTTTTCGCGCAAAAAACTGCCGTTGAGGGGTTGCGCTGGTGTTCGTATTACGCACGTGAAACTGGAAAAAAAACGGGGAGACAACGAAAAAGTGGAAAAAAATCTCTCACGCACAGAAAAGTTTTCTTAAGGCCACATACGATCCCTCCCCTCCCACTGAGCCTCTCCTAACGATGTGGATAGCGCGCGTGGAACATGAAAAATTAACTATCAATTCTTTTCTCTTAGGCTAAGTACGACCACCGGGGCATTATCAGCGCACCCTTAATGGAACACAGACGGTTCCAAAATCTACGAAAAACAAATAAGTGAATGAGAGCTCTTTGTGAGCATGAATTTGACCTTCCCCTCCGTACCCTTTCAAAAAAAGCGAACTATTACCGGATATTTGTCCAGCCATTCCATGTACTCATCAGGATTTACCGTATCAATATCCAACTTTGAGAAATGTATCAGCGACTGACCCAAAAGCCTAAAAAACACATTCTCAGGCACCACAAAAGTCACAAGCTTTTCGTTAGGATATAAGCACCGAAAAATCAAAAAACTATGAGGGAACCCTATGAAGAACTGTTCGATAGGTTCGGTGCTAGTGTAGCTGATTACTGGGAGGAGAGACTAAGCCGCGCCCATGTCTGCTCGTCTGCACTTTCCCACCCTGTCGGCAACAATTACAGAGCACGTGTCAACTAGAAACTTTCTGGCTGGGAGAGTCCACAAGCATTCTCTCGTTGCATCTCCTGGCCCAGCATTTAAACGGAGGAGAGTAGTGAAGAGAGAAGGGAAATAGAAGGAATGAAAGGAAGGAAAGAAGGAGAAAAAAGGGAGGAGCTAGGGAAGGGGCTCTGCAACTGAGTT